ATTCATTGATAATTGAAAGCAGTATTTAAATTGATACATGTTGTTATTTAAAGATGAACCGTAATGTGCTGTAAATACTGATGAATGGGCAGCAGGTAGGTTAAAAACAGAGCCAGGCATTTATCAGTGTGTCTGCTCGGCTACTAAATCAGTCTTTTAATAGGAAGGGCAATCTCACCTGCTATCTGCAACACACACTCACTCACACACATACAATATCCAATTAATCTCTAGGGGGACACAGTGAGTGCTCTAATCAACACAGCACTGGGAACGAGCGGTGGAACAACAAACAGGGGAAGAGCAGGTAGATAAGGCTGTAGAGACAAACAGGACGAGGGGTGAACCTGTCCCCTCTCTACATTCAGTCCCCGTAATCGAAGTCCGGCAGAAAGGACAAACAGCAGGGCTTCGGCTTCTGTCTCAAGCAGTGTAATTGGAGGAATTGGAAACTTTACCTCCGACTCACAACACGCGAGCCACCACCACGCGGCGGCATCAATCGTCCGATTTTCTTTTCCCTGCGATTGATGTGAAACACTTTCCTACACAAATAAATCACTGCCTCCTAATCCCCTTATTGCGATCTCAACCCTCGGAGAAAAATTGCAGTGTATTTGCTTCACCTCTGAGTCTTTTGTTGGGAAGAGTTTTATTTCCTCTCTTTGTAGAAATCCTGATGGAAGTTAAAAAAAACAGGTTTTTTAAGGATTTAGATCAATGCCGTAACACATAAGCACTTGATCTTTATTTTACTAAGGCGAACAAACAGACAAAGCCGTTCAAACGTGAAATAGACACAACAGAAACAAATCAGTAGAAAAAAAACAAAATTCTTTTTTTTCCCCACCCTGCCCCGTGTTTTCCATCCAATCTCATCGACCGTATGGTTTTTTTCTCAGACTTCGGCTCCATCCAAACTAGTCAGTCTGCTGAAACAGTACTTTTGTAAGGCCCACAGTGTTTAAAATAAAGTTCAGTGGAGACTTCAAGAAATCTGGGAAAATGTCAAAGAGGGGGAGGGGGCGCACCAACAGTTTTATCTACAAAATGCGGACGCTGCAGAAAAAAAGAAAGAAAAGAAGTTTGGGAACCTCTGCTCTAATGCCAGCTTCTAATGCCAGAGCCTCCGTTCGTGCAGGGTCACGGGGAGGGGAGTCTAATCCAAGCTGTCAACAGGCAAAGGTCTGGTCAGAACCTGGTCCATCCAACACCAGTGCCATCTTTTGCTTAACTTTTTTTTTTTTTTACAAATACTTGGTTACTGTGATTTAGCAAATCTTCCCCTGTTGTTGTTGCAGCATTGATGCTGTTTTGAAATCATTGTAGATGATTTGGTGTTATTTTACCGTTTTACTTTAGGTATCTGAAGCAGTTAAGTAGTGGACGAGGGTCTGTTTTGGTTTCTTGAAGACGCTGAAGATGAAGACTTTTCATTCGAGATGTTCTTTTTTTCAGTTTTACATGATTGCTCGGAAAATATGTGTTTTTAGCCTCAGAGGAGCTGAATATCTGGGAGAGACTCCTGAGTCACATGGGAGGTTAAAAAACCCACCCCAGGCTTACCAACAGTCAGTTAGCTCTGAGAAATTAGCATCATAGGCACATTTAAAAAAAATTACCCAAGATGCTAATTTAACATTTTTAGCTGAAACTTAGTCCTTAAATTACACCGTTAATGACAAATATGTCAGGCAGTTATTTCAAACTGATCATTTTCAGGCCTTTTCCTACCACAACAACAACATGACAGTGAGGATAGATGAATGTTTGGAGATTTTTACCAATCATAGGACATGAGACGGTGGCGTCTTTTGCTTGTATGACATGAGAAGCGTGACTCCTGATTTGTGGGACTTTGAGGGAATATCTTTTCGACAGCTGGATCCAACTGATAGGCTTTCTCCAGTCAGGGCCAGTGAATAATGTTCCTCAGGAGTGATCCATCCTGTTGTCCATTACCCAGGCTAAAAGTGAGAGAAATAGATAGCGTGCACGTGTGTGTGTGTGTGTGTGTGTACGTGTTGTTACTGTTTTCTCAGGCACACTGAGGTTCCTGTCTGACGTGACATTCCGTCACAGTGTTCGATTGACGTGAAAAAAAGATGCCTCCCCCTTGATTGCCCCCTCTTTGCCACCTTCCTTTCATCCCTCTCAGACCCTCCCCCTCTCGGCCCGAGAATCGCAAAATCAATACAGCTAAATGGAGTTGCCACAGGAGCCAAGGAGTGTCCTCTCTAAGTGCTGCAGGAAAAAGAAGGGTTAGAAGCAGCTCTGACACACAGCCCAATAGTCAACGCTTCACCTTCATTACTGCCTCCACCTAAATCTCTTTATTTAGCAGGTCTACGCAATGGCACAAACTCTCTATTTATGCCTGTGCTTTATAGTTTACAATTTCATAATAAACTAGTCATGCTTTTAAAGGAAGGAATAAAAGGAGGAGGAAAAGAGAAAACACAGCCTCTCAGTGAGATTAGATTTTACGATTAGTCACTGAACCCAAACGGTTCTGTTCTGGAAAATGTTCTTAAATCGAATCGCATAATAAGCAACAAAACATTTTCACTACTGTGTAGTTCAGTTTTATTCTGAAGAAAAAATAAAAACAAAATCAATTAAAAAAAAAACTGCAGATCTAATATGACAAAAATGGCCAAAATGTCTTTTTGAACAGTCTCACATAGGCCGGTTGGAAATATATATATACACACACACAGACATACATATATATATAACTAATAACAGCTGTAAATAAAGGTTATATAAATGCACTTCCTCTTGTACCTTTTCAACCACACTCAACCAATCCCAGGCCGTGATGTAAACATCTGGAGAGAGATAAATGATCAGTTTCCTCTACTTCATACACAACCACCTGTACCCTCAACTTGTTTCCCCGTGCTACAGTAAGCGCCCTCTTGTACTCTTCATGTCGCCTACTGCCCTTTAGTCGGGCCGAAAATTACAATGACGAGGCGCTGCACTTAATGACACCGTAATTATTTTTCTATTGACTGCTCACCGCGGTGGAGAGAAGTGAACGAGGGAGTCGTTCTGCAGGCTCTGACCTGCATTAGCATAAAGAGCAGAGGTCCAGGTCCAAGTGATTTACATCAATAACACTGGAGCGCTGCTCCGTCAGCTGGCCTTTGGCCCTGGCGGCAGGTTACATGTGTCAAGAACCACCGAGGAGAGCTCTCTCTCCAAACGCTGTGTGACTGTGACTACAGTCCATTTGTGAACATTTACGGTTGTCCTTCCACTCCTCAGGGGTTAGATACAGAAACAGAAAACGTGGAAGTATTTTGTGCTAGTTTAGATTACAGATGACACAGATGTTCTGATGATAGTTTGCATGTTTTCTGAGTGCTGCCATGTTTTCCTATAGGCCAAAAACACAGTTATTGGACATTCTAAACTGACTATAACTACAAGGGGAAGAGTGAATGGTCGTTTGCGCTGTGATGGACCGTGGTCCGATAATTGTTTTTGTTAGCTGCGGCTCCCCTGTGACCCGCGGGAGGATTTAAATGAATGAATAAGTGAGCGTTCAAAGACCCAGTCTATGGGTAATCTGTCAGGATTGGACCAATCAGGGAGCGTTTCCGGAACTGTTTACAGAGGGGAAATCGAGCCATGAATCAGCCCCAAAGTGTGAGCTCAGCATTTCTCTGCCCATTTTGCACGTCCTGCGTTGTAATTTCTCCCGGTATCCTGCACTATTTCCATCTCTATTTAACGAGAGGCTCGACACCAGTGATTCATAGCAGCGAGTCTGTTTGACGGCACAGCATGTTCTCACGGTGACAGCTTTACAAGATCTGACGGAAGGAGCAAATGGTTTCATCCAGTTTCTGTGCACTCTTAATGTGCTAAGTCCCAAAAAAGGAGCACAGAAAAAAAGCATAAAGATAATGAGAAGCTGGTGCAGAATTGAAAAAAAGAAAAAAAAAAAGAAAACAGAACATTTTCCTGAGTTTGTTTGTGCGAAACAAAGAAGCTGGACTGAAAAAAAAGAAACCACGTTGCGACAAAGAACTCTTTGAGCACTTCCACTGGACCTTTGAGTCAAAACATCAAACGCAAAACCGCCAAAATAAAAGCATTAATCCTTACCAACGCACAGGAAAATGCAAATACAATCTGAGGAAAACCGCAGAATGATAAATATGGTATAATCTGTTTTGGAGATATTACAGTAATGATAAAATATTTTTTCTAATAACATGAGCAGGAGGAGGATATATGCTGTATCCTGAGGGCGAACAGTTTTAGATTAGACTCACATCCACAGATTTAGTGTCAGTGGAAGAGAGAGTGTGTTAAATGAGGAGCTTCTAACAGAAAAAAATGTTTGTACTCCTGCCATTAAAATCACTTTAGCTTCCAGAACCTTCTTTTCTTTTTATCAGTAGAATTTCCCTGCTGAGTTGCTGCTCGGTGAGTTTAACTTCTTGGGGATCTTCCAGCTGCCACGGTACAATAAGAGTCGGAACATTCTAAGACAATATGAAGATTGTGATCAACCACTGGAGCAGGAGCAATAAAATAAATACAAATTACAATATATATATATATGAAATATTAGAAGAAAAACATTCAATTTTTTCAGCTGGAACAACTTTATATGCTGGATATTCCTTCTTTCCCACGGTTTGAAACATGAGGGTTTGCTCTGAATTAGTTCAAACTTCCCAGAAGCATGACTGATAATGGAGACGTGCAGCTGGCTCAGCCATTACCCATAACTAAACAGGCTTTCCACTTTCCCTGTTATCTCCCACAGCAAGCAGAAGAAAGTGATGGAGAGCCTGTGGTAATTAGAATGGAGTGTCTCCCTCTCTCCTCTATGCAAATAATAGCCCTTCACCTACTGTGGAAAATCACTGTGAATTTATGCTTGCACTCATATAGGACACAGTTCTTACACACACACACACACACAAACATAAAAACCCCACACGTACACACACAGAAACACACACTCCACTCCTCACCTGCTCCAGTTTCCAGTGGAACTCTGCAGGTCTGAAAGTGTCGACCTGAGTGAAATCTCTCCTGAGCAGGAAAACCAGGCGGCAGTTGTGCACGTACAGGGAGTAGTGGTGGCGGTTCATCTCTGCAGCAGTCGAATCAGAGGGGAAAAAATGATTTAGCATAAATATATTTCTATCTATTTATGTCCATTTACACACACTTTTCCTTCAGTGTAGAACTATCTGCTCTTTTTCCCATTGCTTTGAATGCAACTGGCGTTCTTCTTTGGATCAGTGGAAAACTGTCTCACAGCTGAGTGGAGACTTTAAGCAGCTGGAAAATGTCAAAAAGCATCAGTCAGCGTGACAACGATGCTCCACTGAGTTTGGTCACAGACTACAGGCTGCGGGGTTTGTTGACTTATTTCCTAAATCTGAGCTAAGCTGAAAAGGCCGGCTACACTTTCATCTCAAAATATGCTGCACATCTAAGTGTTCTAGTTTAGACCTTTATTTTGAAATTAAAAGTGGGTTACAGGAAACTGCTCCTGCATGACTGAAACAAATCAGCAGCGGCTCAACTGAAGGAGCTGATGGAGAGATGATGGAAACACATTAGCTTTAGGAAATGTAATACTTAGGAAATAGAGACCTGATAGGTGTCTTTCACCTATGTACTAACACTGACCGTAGTACTGAAGTACTTCTTAGAACAGAGCATACTGTCAAAATCCAGCAGAAGTTTCCTTTACCTTAATCTGGACACGTTTTCCATTTCTAATTACTTTGTTCTGCTTCCCCTTCCATCCACCATTGACTTAATGTGTCCTAAAATATTTATTCAAATTCACTGAAGTGGTTTTCTGAATGGCTCAATGGAACAATTTATGTTGCATGAAATTGGTCTGTATTTTTTGCACATCTGGTGTCACACAGGCTAAAAAAAACAAAAAAAAAACTTGTGCTGGCAAAAACTGAAATGCAGAGAATTATTACAGCAGATAATTATGATTTATGCTCACAGTTCAAGGTCTGGATCTAGACTGTGGGTTAAGATGAATAGAGAATAGAGAATTATTACTATTCTACTGGTAAACCACCTAACTTGAAAGCCATTCACAGATGACGTCACGTTCTTTAACCAAAACCTTGTAAAGGAATAATAATATTTGAACATCAACTAACTCGCAGTTTTTTTCTCTCTGTATCACCAGATGAGAATAGCTAAGCTAGTAAGCCATCAGTGAGAACACTGAGGACATGTCATTTTCAGATTGCTTCCTTAATTACAAAGTTCAGGCTGCTCGGTTTAAATATGCAACGGTTAAGCAAAAAGTTTCACAGAACATTTGCCATTGTGAAGCATCGTGAAGTCGACGTCCTAATTAACTCGGGTTACTTTCAAAGAGAGGCGTTTGAGCGTGCTGCATTAACGACGTGTCTTCTTCACCGAGGAAATAAAAAGTATGAAAGATTTAGCTTTCATTTCAAAGGCCCCGTGCTTCAGAAGTTTTTAGTATTTCTACAGTAACAACACGTCGCTGCTAAATATGGGAGGAAAAAAAAACTGAAAGGTCAATAACGAATATTCATGACGGTTTTTAGCTTCAGGTTGTAAATCATCCCGCTGTAACATTTGGACTTGGGAGCGTTGTTGTCGTGCATGTAAACAGGTGTGGAACCAATCCCTCACCGGTCTTGTCGGAGTTACACAGTAAGGTTTCCTTCTCGGCCCGGAGTCCTGGACTGGGTCCGTGCTTCATCCATGTTGCTATGGTGAACTGATCCGTGAGGTTCTGGGGGACTACGTGATCCGGGACGTTGGCAGCCTGACGCCCGTCGAACCTGTAGATGAGGTCGCTGTCTCGTCCGCTGTCAGTCAGCAGAGATGACGTCCAGTTTGTGGAAGGACTCGGGGCAGGCAGGAGGTCAGTGCTGCCAGATGCTGCACCTGGAAGTGACAATCATGAGACAGGACGCTCCAGAGACAAGTGCAGGGAGAATAAACCAGAGGAGAAGGTGCCACGGCAGGACACTGTGTCCACTTATGCCATTAGGTGACGGTGTGTAGGTCACCTCTCGGGTTTATCAAACCGTTCTTTTGATAAACCTCTCGGGTTTATCAAACCGTTCTTTAAAACAGATAACAATACAATATTATTATTATTATTATTATTATTTGAACACCAAGTGACTGGACTTGAAGATTGGATGACGTGATGATGTATTTTTTTATCTGTTGGCCCAAACTCTTCTGCAGTTCTGGTAATCAGCAGTGAAATCTGGTATTATAACCTGGGCTCATTTGGCCCTGAACAACAGCAGCAGCAGCAGCAGCTGATTGGCTCTGGGTTAACATTGTGTGATGGAGTCTGTCTCTCTGCTTTTCCTTCTTTACCCACACTAAATGCTTTTGTTCATTCCCGTCTCAAAACACGGTTCTGTCGTTTGTCGGATTGAATCAGTTGAATCCCGATCTGAAGATCTGGTTGTGCAACGATGAGCCATTCAATTCTCTAAGTCTTTTGTGCACTGCATGGCACGAACCTGTTAACTCCTCTGTCTGTGTGGTCTCTCTGCAGGAGAAGTTGGAGTAAAATTGCAATTATTTGGTCAGATAAATTCTAAATTGTATTATTAATTTTGTCGCTGTGGTTTGTAGTTTTTAACAAGTTTGGTAAAAAACTTTGAAGTAATCCAGAGCTCACTGTTTTCTTTAAATGTCTTTAAAAAAAAACCAGCAGAGCATTAAGTTTGAGTCATGAACAGGTCAGGTCTAGAGTTAGTGTAGATAACACACACACACAAACACACACATCCGGGCAGCAGCTGATGTTGTGTACGTGATTAAATATTCAACAGTGTCTGACAGAGTTAACATTTCACACACCAGTTACTTTGTTTTCGCACGTCATATTTATACTGCGACTATCAAATGTTTTATTAAGGACGACAAATCCTGAAATGACGTTTAAATACAAGGAACACGTGTGAACGTGGCTTCATTTGTTTTGTTGGGTTTTATTTTTTGTTGCTCTTCTTTTCCCCTAACGCCCGTACCTCCAGCACAATAAAGTCTAGGAGTCAATATGCACTTTAGTTTAGTAACAGCGGGACGTGCCGCTGTCACTGAGGTGCTGTGTTGGTCTCAGTCCAAATAGCACAAGAATTGGGCCCACTTCTGGCGGTCATGCT